AGTGAACACTGGGCAAAGACCTTCCTATGTCCCATGCCCAACAGTTAAGTACCCAAAGGATTTCAACAACAACCTCCAGAGAAACACAACACAACCTTAGGTTCCCCCCGCCCTCAAGTTACCCACCCAACCGGCACTGGGGCCCCCTCTAGAACAGGCCCTGAGAAGGACTCTGCTCCATGGAAAGAGGGGCTCGGGTCTCAGAGCTGAGGATGCCCACAAGGTGACGCAGAATGCTAGAGAACCTTCCCTGGGCTCACGACAGGGTCTCCCAGCTCCATAACCATTATGTCTCCCAACCCCCACAGCCTGAGGAAGAGAATCACAGTCAAAAGAGAGGCTTGCAGAAAGGAAATCACCTAAGTCAAGAGTACTGCCCTGTCCCACTCTGGTCCCCACGAGGCAAGGGGTGCTCCCCTCACCCACCCCTCCCCAAGTCAAGCATGAAGCCACTGAGACAAGCCCTCAGAGAGATGGGTGGTGGCCTGTGGCAAGGAGCCTGGGGCTGACCCCGGGCTGGACTTGGGCAGGTGTGTTCAGATGCCTACAGCACTCCAGCCGGCTGCTGGGCCAAGAACAAGAAAGCTCCCAAGGGCCTGTGATGGGTGCTGTGGAGTTGGGGCACACAGACACTGGTGGTGGGCCTTGCAGAAAGGACCCTGCAGCAGAAAAGCCTGAGCGTTGCCAAGTGGGCCGAGGAATGAAACAACAGGTGATCTAGCTCTGCTGCTGCCAGCACACAGGAAGGCAGGAGCTTGTGTCACCCCAGAATTACACCATGGAGGAAGGGGGGCAGAGTGCAGACGGTGGTGGTAGGGGAGGGGGCAGGCTGGTTTTGTGTCACATAGAGTCTCTACCAGACAGTCCAGCACGAAGTTCCCACTTTGGTCTCAGAAGTGTCCAAAGGTCTTAATGTTTTGCTCTGTTCTAAATGTTTGTGTCCCCGCCTTTCCCTGTTCGTAAGTTGAAATTTTAACCCCTAAGGTTATAATGTATCAGGGAGTAGGGCCTTTTAGGAAGTAATTAGGTCATGAGGATGGAGTCTTCATAAACGGGATTAGGGCCTTTTATACAAAGGAGGCCCCAGAGAGCTGTCATGTCCTTTCACCACATGAGGACGGCGAGAGGGCTATGAACCAGAGCTCAGGCCCTCCCCAGGCATCAATCTGCCAGCACCCTGATCTTAGACCTTCTAGCTCTCCAGACTATAAAAGACAGAAATGCCCGCTGTTTCTAAGCAGCCCAGCCCATGGTATTCTGTTGCAGGAGTCTGAGCACACTAAAGCAGCCCCCCACCAGGAAGAACCAGCAACCAGTGGGCCACCCATTAAGACCAGAGGCCTAGTGCTGGTGGGCCAAAAAGAACCCTAGACAACCCAGCAGAGGACAAAGACCCCCAAAGTCTCCTCTCCAGAGCCCCTTCTCCATCCTGGAGGAGGAGGGCAGGCATAAGGAAGCAGGACATACACCACCGCCCTCCACCCTTGGGGACTCCTGCCATCACTTAACTTGAGGGGAAGAGGCTTTGAATTAACTAGATGGGACATTTAGGTTTGGTGTTTTTTGGGGGGGAGAGACAGGATCTAGCTCTATCACCCAGGCCGGAGTGTAGTGGCACAATCTCAGCTCACTGCAACCTTCACCTCCCAGACTCAAGTAATCGTCTCATCTCAGCCTCCTGAGTACCTGGGACCACAGGCGTGCACCACCACGCCCGGCTACTTCTGCATTTTTGGTAGACACAGAGTTTCGCCATGTCGCTCTCAAACTCCTGAGCTCAGGTGATCCAACCTGCCTTCATTTCCCAAAGTGCTGGGATTACAGGCATGGGCCACCACACTTAGCCACATTTAGGTTTTTAATGTAGGCTGGACCTGAGTACCGGAAAGTGAGACTATTGCCATACCAAAAGTGGCTGGAAGGCCACGGAGTTCTGATTGATGAGGCATCGTAGGGCAAGGAGAGGGCAGTGATAGGAGCGGGTGTTCCCTAAGCGGGTCCGTTCCCTTCAACACATGAGGTTCATGCTCTCCTCCATCCCACACCAATCCAGCAGCAAAGCTGTCCACTCCACCTCAAATCTAAACATCTCCACAATTCACCCATTCTTCTTCCTCTGCTGCTTCCCACCCAGTCGAAGCCATCATCACCCACCTCTTGCCTGCACAGCTGCGCTGGCTCTCTTTAACAGCACATCTATTTCCAAATGTACCCGCTAATCATCTGTTCTCCAGGCAGCAGCACAGTGAGATCACGGAACTCCCTAGATAAAACTTCTGTTCTCCTCTGTATCACTTAGAAGCAAACTCCGTATTTCTTACCACAGCTTTCAAGGTTGCTCAAGTCAAAGTTCTGATTTTACATCACCACCGTTGTGCCTTTTGCCTTGTACCCACAGCCACTGGGTCTCTGCATGGCTCTGGTAGACTGTACAGTGCTGTCCCGTAAGTCCTCAGCAAAAAGATCACCTACTCGGGGAGGCTGGTTGAGCCAGTTAATTTTTTGGCCTCTCAACTCCAAATCGCCCTTCTCTGCCATGCTTACGATGAATGAGCTGCACCCTGTAAACATCCCCCCCTGCCAGCAGGTAGGTACAGTGTGTGGTCGTGTGGGTGCAGGGTGCTAAGGGACAGTGAAGAAGAAGGGTCTCTCTCCAGGTTCCTGTGCTTTTCTCTTCTTGCTCTTACCCCGAGGCAGCTCCCTGACAGTGGTGGGCAGGGACTGGGGGGCACACACTGTCCAGCACTCAGTCCCAGCCTGCAGGACCTCAGGGTGCCTCTCTGCTATCCAGCAGGGTATAACAACACCCACTCCACTTCCAAGTCTGTTGCTTTCTTGAGTCCCCTCCTTAAGCTCCCGCTAGTGGCTGCTCCCTAGATCTGCCCTGGCCATATTCTTTAGAGTTCACTTCACACATATGGGGAGCTGACCTGTTGTTACTTGTTAATTATTCTTTTTTTTTTTTTTTTCTTGAGATGGAGTTTCACTCTTGTTGCCCAGGCTAGAGTGCAATGGTGCGATCTTGGCTCGCAACCTCCACCTCCCGGGTTCAATCGATTCTCCTGTCTCAGCATGCTGAGTAGCTGAGATTATGGGCGCCTACCACCATGCCCAGCTAATTTTTCTATTTTTAGTAGAGACAGGGTTTTACCATGTTGGCCAGGCGGTCTCCAACTCCTGACCTCAGGTGATCCACCCACCTCGGCCTCCCAAAGTGCTGAGATTACAGGCATGAGCCAATACACCCTGACACTTGTTAAGTATTCTTTATGTTAAAATGTGCTTGTTCTGATTATGGACGTAGTGCCCAGCTCCTGAGCTCTGGCTTACCCATCAACCTAAACATCCCAGTTAATCTCCTCTATCACAAACTGCTTTCTGAAATCCTGGTGTTGTACTTGCATTCTTGTTTTTTTATGTCTTCAACACTGGAACATCAGCTCATGAGAGCCAGAACCTAACTACTTGCTCACTATGGTATGTCAGCACCTATAATGATGGCTGGAATGTAGTACATTCAGAACAGCAATCGAGAACCTGAAAGCAACATTTCCTGGAGACAAGAGATGAAAGGAAGTCTTTTAAAATAGGGTACCTGATGACTACATATTAAATCCTTAAATGTGCCCCATTATAGGACTCATCGTATATAGATTTAATCTCAGTCACATTACACCCAAGTCTAACACAATTTAAAAGAAAAATAACAAAATCCAGCAATTAATATAAAATTCACGATGTCCAGCATCCAGTAACAAAACCCAAAGCAGGACAAATGACTCTTAA